GCTTGGTTTGTATTACAAGTTGCATTTGGTTAAGGCTTTCCATTTGATGTTGAATGTTGAAAGTGTTTAGAACTTAGCTTCTTTACCATGCCTCGTCTTGCAACTTGCCTTGCTTTGCTTCCTTCTTTCATTTGCCATTTCTCTTCTGTTTTTCTCACTTTTTTCCTAGGACCTTGGGGGACTCATTCAAGTTAATTTGGTGCTTTTGATTTGCACTGTGAGTTTTACTTGGATGAGAGGCCACTTTGAGAACCTCTCCTGTCTCTTTCTTGCATGATCATTTTAATGTTTATGGTTGAGATTTCATTTGATGTTGCTTGCTGCCCAAGCTTGTTCTCCCATCCTCATCTTGATCATGTCTTCTTTTCTTTCTTATTTGCTTGCCTCTTGGTTTAGTGATTGATGTGCAAATGATTGTAGGAATTCTATTTCTCCCATTTCATCTCACTTTTGGCTTGAACTTGTTTAAGTTCTTTGGTTTGCTTTCCTTCTTTGTTTTTCATACTCTTGTTTGCTTGAAGAGGTTGAGATGTGCTTGTGGTGGCTACTGCCCCACACTTTGTTCCTCCCTCTTTCTTCATCTTTGTTGTGCATTACATGTTTGCATCTTTTTTCTTCTTTCTTATGCTTCCTTCTTTTGTCTTCCTTTGCCATGTTCCCTTAGGACCTCTAATCTTTCTTGTTCAAGATTGATTATGATAGACATTAGGTTTGAATCCATGTATGATAACATTAAGTAGCATTCCCTTTTCATCCCAATCATAGATGCACTTTGTATGAGAATATTAGGTTGAGTTTAGTCTCCCTTTTAGTGTGTCTCTCTCTTTTCATCTTCAAACTTCTTCAAGCCACTTAATAATGGATAATGAGTGTTGTACACTATGAGCCTTAAGAATTTGGGAAATGATGATTGGGGGGCCTCCTCTCAATTGTCTAGAGTGTTTAGCGTATGTCCTTTGGACGATATGCGACGCATTCGCTTCTAAGTCACAGTCTTTAGTGCAGCATGAACTACAAATCAAATTCAATTCACTTCTATAAAAAACACAAAAACAAACATCAAACTTTTTTATCCTTCGGGATTAATTTGGAAATCATTTTTATCCTGCTCGGGTAAAACACTTGAACCAACATATGGTCTTGTTAGCCCGAACTACGTTTGCTCTGATTTCTCGTACCAGACGATGATACGTAGGCACAAGACGACGATGTCTTGGCGAGCAACCTTCCCCACCTTCACCCGTAGTTTTCCGAACTACGTTGACTCTGACTTTCCCATTGCACGAGGGAGTACGTAGGCATAGAGCGGCGATGCTTTATCGAGTCTCTTTCTTTTCTTTTGTCCCTGTGGCCTGTAGCTTAGATAGATAAACACCATTTTAGATAGACAACAAGCATGGATCTCGTCGAGTACGACGGACGTGAGGGGTGCTAATACCTTCCCCTTGCGTAACCGACTCCCAAACCCAAGATTTGGTTGCGATGACCTGTCTTTTCCCATTTCCGTAGGTTTTCTCTAATCATTTCCTTTCCCTCTTCTGGGATAAATAACGAACGACGGCAACTCTTCTTTCTTTTCTGACCCTCTTCGCAACGATGCGGCACCTGGCGACTTTGATGTGGATTTTCTCGATCCCCTATGCAAGCCAGTCCTAGCGCTTGTGTGTTTATCTTTGGGTGTGTATATATGTGTTGTATTTTTATCTGCATTTGCATTTTACTTTCTAGTATTGTATATCATCATTGTGTCGTCCTGTTGGGTGGGAGTTCCACTGTGAGATAAGCCAAACCCAGGCTTGAGTACAACCATAGCATTAGAAGCGGAAAGTAGTGGTGAACATGTATGTTTGGCATGCACTAGTTCCCATGAAATATGCGCTCATACGATATTCTCTTTGATGACTTCCTTTCCAGTCCGTTTCGGACAGTTGAGAGCTTGTTAGATCTAAGGATTGTCGACTCTGAGGACCGATCTGAAGGTGAGAAAACACTTAGAAGGGGGGTTGAATAAGGGTTTTAAAAAAATTATGGCAATAAAAACACAATGATTTTTATCCTGGTTCGTTGAACTCAACTAATCCAGTCCACCCTATCAAGAGTGATTTGCCTTTCTCCACAAGGACTTAATCCACTATAATCAAACAGATTACAATGTCAACCACTAAGAACAATTGTCTTAGTCTTCTCAAGAACTACTGACCACAACTTGGTCTTCTTAAGGAACCTTTACAAATAAATGTAAACTAACAAGTGTGTTTGATGCTTCTAAAAATCTATATCACAAACTGTGATTTTTACACTTAAGATTAAGCAAAAATAAAACTATTCAACTTTGAATGATTGTATGAGAGTTGAGAATAAATTCAATGAGTTTTTCAATAGATCGTTAGCTTTGAAGAGATGAAGAGAACGTCCTTTTATAGTGTTGAGAGTCCAAAGCTTGAAGACTGTGCAAGTAGAACGTCCTTTTATAGTGGAGAGGACGTTGAGAATAGTACCGAGTCTATTCACGTGTTGACATCTTTTCAAATGTAATCAACATCAGATCCTCTGATGTGCTTCTGGTTCTTCAGATCAGATTCAATGTTATCAGAGTTGCAGCTATAGTGCTTTAGCGTGAGTGATCTGATCATAACATACTTGTTTGTCAGAGCCTCTGTACTTGCAGCATAAAGTACATTCATAGTCTTTTGAACAAATACTTTAAACTCTTCATACAAAGCGCTGCCGCGCAATAACTCTACCACCGAGGATCCTATTACAGGAATAGCATCGGGTACAGCTGTTACAATTTTGACTGCCCAATAACCAATTTAGTCCCAAGGTAAAGAATAACCAGTTACACCAAAGGATGCAGTTAATACACCCAAAATTACACCTGTAACCCAAGTCAATTCGCGAGGTTTTTTAAAACCACCAGTGAGATACACGCGAAATACGTGCAAGATCATCATTAATACCATCATACTTGCTGACCATCGATGAACTGATCGGATTAACCAACCAAAGTTAGCCTCAGTCATTATATATTGAACAAAAGCAAAATCCTCCGTAATGGTTGGACGATAATAAAAAGTCATAGCAAAACCCGTCGCTACTTGGACTAAAAAACAAGTAAGTGTAATTCCTCTTAAACAATAAAATATATTTACTTGAGGAGGGACATATTTACTAGTTATATCATCCGCAATAGCCTGAATCTCAAGACGTTCTTCGAACCAATCATAGACTTTATTGAGATAGGTAAACCAAGGGACCCCCTTCAAACCGTATATGAAAATTTCATCTCGTATAGCTCAAACAAAAAGACTCAAATACTGGTTATTTGGAAAACAAATATGTGTAATAGAAAGTTTGAAACTTCTGAAGTTAATCCTATGATTTCAGTCTTTTTTGAAGATCCAAAAAATAGAAATCTACAAGATATTCTTAGTGTTTATAATGCCAAAATTTCAAGTCGGCTCACTCGTCTTTTCTCTTGATCCTTACAGGCCTCTTGAATATTCTATTATTTACTTCATTTTTTTTTGTATTGTGTATGTAATAAGATTTGACTTCTGCTTTTTTTTTATTATTGATAAGAATTTTCTTGTTAAGACCCTATAGAATCAATGGAAAACCTGAGATTCATACCAGAACCACGATGATTTCCAAAAAAACCTTTAATCGAAGTCCAAGAATTCCCTGAGTAAGAACTGCTAGATCATCACTTATTCAATTTCAATAAATAGATATAATGAAAAAAAAAATACAAAGAAATGGATAAGCGGCGGCCGAATAAAATTCCATTTCTTTTTCTAAATGAATTCTTCTAACTCTTTCATTTTTTTTCGTCCGGTTGTGAGGTATAAATATAAATATTAAGTATGAATCATAGTTCTAACACTTTAGAATCTATTTATTATCTATATTCCATGCTCCAGATACTAGAATAAATATCTGACAGGGGAAAGCCATCTATCAAGATAAGATGACGTATCCATTTTATGTTCTGTACTATCAATAGGATTCATTATAACAAGTTACACACTCATATTCCGGAAATAGAGAAACAAAGAAGTTTCGTGGTCCAACTACCAAATCAAAATGGAATGGTCTAAAAAATGAACGATCTAAATGCTAAACTTGACTTTTCTATTGAAAAGCTAGTTAGTTGGTTCTTGTGAATCAAATTCTCTAATTCATGGAAATTTGGTCCAGTAAAAGGGACGAATTATAAATCTCTAAAATAATAGAGAGAAATACCGCAAATAGGGCCATTGCAACCCCCATCCAAGGGGTAGTTCCCCACCCCGGAGATACTTTACCATATTCTGAATTCAATGGTTTCAATAAATCTCCTACAACAGTTCGTCTTGGACCAGATCTAGAACTACCCTCAACGGTTTGTGTAGCCATAAATCCTATTTTTTTATTGAGATCTGTTGACTTTCTATACCATTCCGCTGTAGATAAAGGATCTTACCATATAGATCCATTGTAGTCTTGATATTATAGAATCATGGAAACAACAACCCTAATTTCCATCTCTATATGCGGTTTAATTGTAAGTTTTACTGGGTATGCCTTATATACTGCTTTTGGGCAACCCTCTCAACAACTAAGAGATCCATTCGAAGAACATGGGGACTAGTTGAAGTAATGAGCCCCCAATATTACGATATTGGAGGCTCATTACTTCATTCAATTGAGATAATTCTCAATCATTTCATGTTTTTAGTGGGAACTTTAGGGGGTTCTCTAAAAAAAATATCGAAAAAAATGATTCCTAAAGTCGAGACTAAGAGGAATGTATAAACCAATGCTTCCATAGATTTGATCGTGGTTTACAATTATAGCTTTCATACCTGTTTTGGGGGATTATCTCCTGGATAAAGAAAAAGAAAGAACAAGAGTAAAACAAAATGGAATGATTGAAATCAAGATTTATCTAGTTCCCTAATATCAAATTCACATAACAACAAAAAAAATCGAATCGAAAAGGAACAAACCTATTTCTATCAGACTCCCTGTTTTTTTGTAGTTGGATCTCCAAGTTTTTGGAATGCTCCAAATTCTACTTGCACATCCAAATCTGGATCAATACCAGCAAAAACATCTCTGAACAAGGTTCTAGCACCATGCCAAATGTGCCCAAAAAAGAAGACCAGAGCAAACGAAACATGTCCAAAAGTAAACCAACCCCTTGGACTGCTACGAAAAACACCATCCGATTTTAAAGTAGCACGATCTAATTCAAAAATTTCACCCAATTGAGCACGTCGAGCATATTTTTTCACAGTAGCGGGATCGCTATAACTGACTCCATTGAGTTCGCCACCATAGAATTCAACAATTACACCTACTTGTTCGACACTATACTTCGATTCTGCCATTCGAAAAGGAACATCTGCTCTAACAATTCCGTCTCAGTCTACCAAAACAACCGGAAAAGTTTAAAAAAAGGTAGGCATACGACCGCTATTCCATATCCATTGTCCATTGAGCACTGCTTTAGCCTATGGGCCGTTCATTTCTGAAATTCTTGCTGCTGCGAATGTTGTATACCCAACATTTCCGTGTGTCTCAGTCCCCTCGGATAAAGAATTTAGCACCAAAACCCTTGCAATGATGGGGTATTTTTGGTGTGCTGAACGACGTTCATATAGATTTGTCCGACGGGCCAATATTCCTCCGGTGCCTCATAACGATTCTGATGAAGAAGAAAGTGAAGAGCAGGGTGAAGAAGAAAGTGAAGAACAAGGTGAAGACAAAAGTGAAGAGGAAGGTGAAGACGATGATGCAGAAGACAACACAGATGCAGAGATACAAGAACCTATCTATGGGACTCAAGATTATCATCAATCTTCAGTCCAAGATACGACTACAAATACCGATTGGATCCAGTATTCATATCCATCAGAAGAACAAGAAGGCGATTCTACAAATCAAGGATGGGGCGATTGGCAATATACAAGCTGGACTACCCTGGGTAGATTCTATGACCCATATCACGGCTACCCTCAAGACTATCAACCCTCTCAGCACTCATCACCTCCTCCGCCGTCGGACAATTCTGAAGTCATTAATATGATGCAGTCAATGCAGTTAGAACAATAAAACTTCATGAGGCGTCAAGACACTCAAATGGAGCAGATTAGAGTTGAGCTCCATGCCCAAAATGAAAGGTTCAATTCATTTTCTACTCGGATGGACACCCGTATTGAATCTCCGGTTGAATCACATGAGCGACAAGATTGGGAAATCACCAACTCTCTTAGTCATCTCAACATGTCCGTAGAAGCCTTTCTGGACTTCTCGGATCCTTACCACAATCCAGATGCTGCATACCGAGGGAGAGGCCGAGGACAGGGCCGCGGATATTAGATTCATAGTTGCATATTTCATATTTGCTTATGTGTTTTTCGTCTGTGTACTTTTCATTTTTTTCTGTATTATGTGCGCCTGAACTTTCATTACATATTTTCGTCATTATCTATTAATTCAAGATATTTTTATTCATTATCATGCTTATGTGTGAAGTTTGGTAATTAACTATCACCTATTGTATGTTCTTTGTTAATTGATGCGTTCTCCTTCTCCATTTGATGGTGTCAAAGGGGGAGAAGACAATGTAGCAAGCAAACACCAAAGCCAAGCCAGGATATTAACAGTTCAGGATATCAACAACATTTGATGGATGGTTGTTCTACAGCCTTATCGTACGAAAGAAAGGGGAAGCTTGTGTACACTTGTGTGTATACATTGCATAGCTGGTGTTTTAGTTGTATACAGGTTGTCATCATCAAAAAGGGGGAGATTGTGGAGGCAAATCGCCACATATCACACAAGTCTGCAAGACATTGTTTAATGCAGGTTTCGATGATGACGAATTCCCTAGATAGATTGGAAATTATGAATTCCAGATCTACTAAACTAGATGCAACGTATCACCCACCATATCATTTTACGCTTTGCTTAAAACTTCTGAAATGAGTATATTATGTATTGACAAAATGCAATCATGACCAAAGGCATGAAAGACTTCAAACTAATGAATTTTTGCAGGCTTGCAGGACATGGGTCGACCATAGGGTTGGCGTATGCATCAGAAAAAGTCTAAACCAGTCAGCGCACAAAGCATGCGTCGACCATAGGGTCAGCGCATGAAGGAACAACATTCCAGCGGGTCAGCGCGTAAAGGCATGGGTCGACCATAGGGTTGGCGCACAAAGGAAATAGATTTCAACGGGTCAGCGCATGCCGACTATATGGTCGACGCACACTGATGAAATTTCCAGAATTCCAAAACAGCACAGGCCATGCGTCGACGCACAGACCTGTTATGGTCGACCGTTCGCACGGAAAATCTGTTTTAAAATACTTCCCTCTCATATTTGAAATACTGTTATATCCTGAATCATGTTGGCACTATATATACTTGTTTAAACACTTGTGTCTACCAACATTTGATATTCTTTTGATTCATGTGTTCAAAAACAAGAAAGAGTGAAATAGGTGTCCAAGATTCATCATCTTCATCTTCAACATCTCACACCATTTCAATTACACACAATCATTTTTGATATGCATTTGTGATAGATTCAAGGTGATAAGGTTCGAGGCTTAGATTGGAGAATCAAGCTCGGGTTGAAGATTGTGGCAGGTTCTTTCTTGAATAAAACCATTGGGGTTTTACCCTCCAAGATTGGTTCGAATTTTGGGGGTTTTTGGACGAGATTCTTCATCAACGATCAATCGAGCGAAGGTGATTGTGAAGAGGTGGTCTTCACAAGTCTAGTAGCGGATTCAATGATTTTGAAGGGAAGATCTCGGGTTCGATTTGGTGCTGTTGAGATCAGCCGGAGCCAAAGGTTTGAACAACAACGTGTTATTCAATAAGGTGGATGGAGTCGGAGGTCCATCAACACAAATCGAAGAACTTGATTCAGCTTGAATCAAGGGGCAAGGAGTGAAGGCAACCTTCAACACATTGAGATTTCTGTTGTATATTTGCTGCTCAATCCTTGTATAATCTGTTCATTCAAACAGGTGATATCTATAAAATATATCTCAATTCTAGTTTTAGAATTGAGGGCAGACGTACCCCGAAGCGAGGACGACGGGGGAACTGCCTCACCAAATTACTTGTCTTCTCTATTTTCAGCATTTACGTTATAGCTCAAAATAAGTAATTTTTGTGTAAGCTCTATTGTCAAAATTGTGATATCAATTGAGTAAGAGGTTAAAAATCTGTTTTTAACTCCAAAGTACAACAAGACATTGTACTAGGCTGGTTGAAATCACTTACTCAACATAAATATCACTTGGAGTGTTTTTGCACACCAAGTGTTTGACATATTGCTTGAACCAAAATTATCTTACTTGTGTATCTAGTTTTGGCTTGATTTTGAATCATTGGAACTAGGAATCCTTACAACTGAAGTAAATAATTGATAAGTGGAATTAGTGTTGTGATTCTATTTTTCCAATTTGTCATTAATCCAAAGGCTTACGTATATCCGGTTTTCCAATAACCGTTCGTTTTAGACTATATTTTTCCTCGGCCGCTTCCGCACTTAAAACATTTTTAAATTGGTAGCGCCGACTCAAATTTTAATTGGGGATCTATTCAACCCCCCCCCCCCCCCCTTCTAGATCCGTGCCATAGTCTAACATGCCCAACCAGCAACCAGAGCTGTATGCATTATATGGACAGAAAGTAAATGGCCGGGATCATTTAATACAACGGTATGAACACGATACCAAGGCAAACCCATGAAAATACCCCTTATATTAACAAAAAATAGACACTATGTAACTTTATTGCACTGTAAAAAACTATGCTTGCTATAGAACCCTCCCCTTAATTAGTATTAGTAAATCATCTCACATTAAAGAATTTATATTTGTTTGAGTTTTTTAGAAACAAAGGAACATTCTATTCGTAGGAACAAAAAGAAGAAGATCTGTTCTATATACGATAAGTAACAATACGCAATGGTGGTGGGGGTTTACTTTTTTTGATATGCGTGTTTATATCAGTGAATGCAGACAATGGATACTAATACAAGAACAACGAATCCTTTTTTTCTTCAAAATTAACATTCGTTGTTTTTATATTAGACACAAAAAGTCTACGTATGGGTATTTCTTGGTTTCATTACAAAGATAGAGCTATATATATATAAAATATAAAATATATATATATATATATATATATATATATATATATATATATATATATATATATATATATATATATATATATATATAATATAAAAAAAATTAAAAAATGGAAATATTTTCATTTACTCAACTCATGTCATGAGTTGATCAATAAATCAGTTGATTTGGAATCATAGGCCGGGTAGATGTCACAGATGATGAATTGATTTCTTACCTATGTAACTATATTTTTCTTTTTGTTCATCCGTAATAATGGATTCATGAATCCATTATTTTCAATTGTATCTTTCAATTGGTATTTTTTGCTTACCTATTTGGATCTCAAAAAAATGGAAACTTAGGAAAGTGCTTTATAAACATATGTATAAAAAGAATATATTTCATCTAGTTTCCTTATGCCCACTATAACCAGTTATTTAGGTTTTATACTAGCAGTTTTAACTATAACCGCAAGTATTTTTATCAGTCTGAGTAAGATACGACTTATTTGATTTGCAATTTAGAGATGAATTGGAAATTCTAGAATATTTTGGATATTGATAGTTTCTTATCATATTTCCAATTCTTGGTCATTGAGATTCATGGTCAATATAAATTCATATTTAAGGATCGATATTATCCCCACCTTATTTTACTTTCAACCAAACTCAAATGATTGAAGTTTTTCTATTTGGAATCGTGTTAGGTCTAATTCATATTACTTTGGCTGGATTATTTGGAACGACCTATTTACAATGCCGACGTGGCGATCAGTTGGATATTTGATTTAGTACTGTCTCTTTTGTTTATTGACCTCCTATATTTTTTTTTAAATGGCAATACATATTGCATGCTTACAAACACAATATGGAATATATCCTGCCATTTTTTTTGCTTTTTTTTTTTTACTTTCTTAGATCGATCATATAAAGAACAAATATTCTGATTGAATAGTTATATTCAATTAATATAAATAATTTAAAACCGGGAATAGATAGGATATATAAATAATAAGATACAAAGAGTATAATAACAAGAACAAATAATATACAAATAAGAATAATATATATATATATATATATATATATATATATATATATATATATATATATATATATATATATATATATATATATATATATATATATATATATATATATATATATATATATATATATATATATATATATATATATATATATATATATATATATATATATATATATAT